TGATAAAACACGTACAGAAGTTCTTGGCGCATTTTCCATTATTTGTTGGACATTTTCTTTTAATTCTTCAGTCCGCTTTTTAGGTCGGCCGCTTCCTTCTTTTCTTGTTACACTGCCCGTTTCACGAAAAACATTAACACAACGCTGAACTGCACTTTGAAAAATTTTGTACTCAACAACGCCGGGAAATTGATTTTGAAATTCTATGAAACATTCCTCAATAGAATACTTCCATATTCCATCAATCTTGCGTCCATTTCTAAAGTAGGACTCTATGATAAACACTTTTTGTTCTTGAGAAAACACCATTTTAAACGCTTTTTAAAACGAAAATATTCAAATTGATAGCGGCGATATAGCGCTTTGACAGATGACGTTTAAGTTCATTTGCTATACGCTACGCCCTACGTCCAAATGTTCAGAACCAACTTGACCACGTTTTTATTTGAACGCTCGTTACAAACCGGTTTAAAAACGACCGAAGGTTCCCTACCTGTAAAAGTTTTCGCGTTGACGACGCATTTCTCCGTGCTGTTCGCGTCGAAATCCCCACTGTGGATGGCCAGCAGCCACCAGAGCACACTGAACGCGAAGAACGACGCGAAGTTGACCAAAATCAACGCCATGAGGATCCATCTCCAGCGGATGGTCAGCAACGTGTTGCCCAGGTCCCTGATGTACGATATATTCTTGTTGGGCCGCCTCGTCAGGAATATGTTTCGCCTGCCGGATTTCCGTATTATCCTCGCTAGATTGAAGTAGTTTATGAAACTCGATCTCGACTTGCTGCAAAATAAAAGGAGTCGTGTAGGCGGTAGGTAAATAACCCTTAGGAGTAAATGGGCTGGTAGGGAAGTTGTTTATCGGCCGGAGGATGAAATTATCCGAAGGTTGGTCGTTGTGGCCTATATTTTCAAACTGTTATGATACCAAGTCTTTGGTTTAGGATCTATTTTTGGAAAGGATGGCGACAAATTGAGCAAATGAATCTTTCTAATTACGAGTAATACAAAAAAAAAAAGGGTTTCGATCAGGATACACAGTAGTAGGTTTAGGATATTTTTTGTTTAACTTTAGATAAAATGTCAATCTAACTGGGAGACCTTTCAACTGAAATTGAATTTTTTACACTTTCAACTATACAGGGTAGGAAAGTACCGATGGTCTATCTGAAGTTACGTGAGAGCGATAAAGTAAGCCATAGAAATCCATGCGATAGAGAAGGATGGCTATAATGAAGGCGTCTCTTAGTCACCGCCCGTTCCGCCCTTCCACAAATAAGATCCACTTCTTATTTGTGGAAGGGCGAAATGGGCGTTGCCTATTAGACGCCTTCATTATAGCCATCTTTGTCTATCACATGGATTTCTATGGCTTACTTTATCGCTCTCACGTAACTTCTGATAGACAATCGGTACTTTCCTACAATGTATAAAAAAGATGTCACTTTTGACACGTTCGTAGATAATAGTATTTATTATATACAGGGTGTTTCATAATGATATGCAAATATTTTAAGGATGTGTTTAGAAAGTAATTTTAGGGAAGGTACTTCCAATAGATTTTTTCGATTTGAGCCTCCCCTCTTGAGAAAATATTCGAATCTCAAAATGGCCGAAAAAATTAGGTTTTTATTTTTTTTCGCAAAAACGGTTAAACGGTTAAACTTAGAAAATTGAATTTTGGTACACGTTAACAACTAGTTGAATGATATCTTTTGGTAGTATTTTTTTCTGGTTTATATCTTTGAATAAAATAAATTAGCACCCCTTGGTTTTATTTCTCTCATAACTCTTTTCTACGTTTGCCAATTCCAACAAGAAAAATATCTTTTAATGCTACATTTCATTTAGAAACTTTTTCCTTCTACTCATTTTTTCGTATACTTACGATCAAGAAAATAAATTATTTCCCTTACAATGGCATACTATGTTTTTAGTAACTGTTATACTAATTATGTGTAATCGGCAAGGAAAAATAATTTATTTTTTGCTCGTATACTATTAAGTATACGAAAATCTGAGGTCTTTTCCTAAAATTTACATGCTGCAGTGGCGGAGATACGGGGAATCCGTGGCATATTTTTCTAAATAAAATAGTACGCCACTGCTTTACGGCAACAACCATGATATTTTCGAATTCGTCTTTCAATTTTCTACAAATTACTGCTCTCTGTGTTCTTCGAAAAAAGCCTGATTTTCGAGTAAAACTTAAAAAATGAACACACAGTTTATGTGCTGCTTACAAAAAAAAAACAGTAACACAAATGTTTTTAAAAACTGCGACACAGAAGAGTTATAGTTATTTAAATCCAGATACAATACTGTATGTAGCGCCCTCTAACACTCAACAAAAAACTAAGTAAATATTTCAGTTTCTCATCATCTATACTCCTAGTCAACATATAATAAAAATACCAGACAAAAATTTTGTTGGACGCCCCATATCTCATAAACCAAGCCAAACATTCTGTATTTCAGTAGTACTTAGAATAAAACTACACTGGAAAAAAAAGTATTTGGATTAAATGAGCAGATAATTTTTGAATGGAATTATTTACCGTAAATGTTATTTTATTCTATTCAAATGTATATATTTTGTGAAATATTTGCTGTAATCTATAATTTTTCTTAGAATTAAATTATTTGTAAATATATACAGGGTACTTCACGGTAAGTGGCCTATTAGACGTTTCAGGGAACCAAAGACAATATAATACTGAAATTTGGTTTACAGGGGTTATCAGATATGTTCTCTTCAGTGAAGATAATGCTATCAACTTAACACTTCTGGTTATACCGGAAGTAGCTGTCAACTTCGTTATTTTAAATGGACCAGCCCATATATTATTGCATTATCGACAAGATCGTCATTTTACAAAAATTTTAACAGATGCAAGCGTAAAATTTAATAGAACTAGGTATATAAAAACTTTATAGAACTCCCATTAAAATTCTCCAAAGAATACGAGGTTTCATTTTTGGTCACCATTTGTGAATCACCCTGTATTACAAATGAGTGAAATAAGACGTTAAAAGCAAGTTTGACCAAAACGAAAAACTTTTTCATTTATGGTTTGTTTGTTTTAAATATGTTTTGATAGAAACGTGTCTTGTTATTTTAACGCCCTCTGTATAAATCTGAGAGATTGCTCACTTATTCTGGGACACCCTGTATAACATTTTAATTAAATCGCCTAAAAAAGTAATGTTATTCCCTTCAGTTTTTAATGTGAAATTAATCGTTTGTTCGTTATCATTTGTATTGTCCAAAGAATTACTTAAATCATCAAAGTTATAGGTATTGCCAAATTGCGAAAATAACATCAACACATCTTCACCACATCATACGATTTTTGTTTGATTTATTAGTATAGTTATTTTCAAAACAAATCCACAGATATTATATTAGTTAATATTGCAGATAGTGGTGATCCCATAACCATTCCGAAATTTTGTTGATAGAAATCATCTTTTAATTGAAAATATGTTGTTTTTATACGTGTTTTATGCGTGAGTCAAATAACATCAATTGGACCCCAATTTTCCACTTGATCATGGAATTTGAGTCAATATATTTTGATCAAAAGTAGTCACTACAAACAATCATAATCATACCCTAAAAGCGTTTTTCAAATTTTTCATTTTAACAATTCTTTTTGCAATAAACATTTTCGGGACTTTAAATTGAAAAATTAATTGTGTAAAAACCCTTAGATATATCTTAATGTAATTTTCAGGACTTATTGTGTAATATTTAAATTTTAATAAAAATAAAAAATAAAGTACCATATCTTTGATTAACTTTTAAATAAACAAATGAACATTTTAATGACTTCTCAGTCAGATAATAAAGTTTTTCTTTAATTACATCCGTCATACATTTAAGTTTAATATTTCGCGAGAAAATTTGAGTGCCCAGTATTAGTTTAAACAATATAAATTCTTATATCGCTTAAACTCCAATCAGCCGACATTTAAAAAAACTTGTTTATAATTAAACATAATTTTATTAAACTTTAACTTTTTTGTAACATTATATTTACCTATAACAAATATGTATAAAAAATAAAAAATTATTGCTTTTAATAATAATCAGTCGGCAAAAATAAAATGAATAAATAAATTTAAATTTTACAGAAACGTGTTACCGTTTTTTTTTGTTGTTGTTTCTCGAAAACATATTGATAATAGTTTTATCATTTTCTGAAAAAAGATCAACCGATAAAATGTCTACAAAACTTTTTAGTCATTTTTGTGAGAAATTATTCATTTAGCGACCAGAAACTGATGTGGATATATTTTTTTGAGTAGTGGACAGAAATAATTGCATTTGATTGCTTATAAACTTAGTATTTTAAAATATCTAGTTGTCTCTTGAGGTAAAAATAATAATTTTAACAATGAATATATTAACAGGTATATAGTAAATCCATTATAGTTTAAATTTTTATGTTTGATGGGATTAAATAGGCTAACTAAAACTCATTAAATGATTTATATTCACGTTGCTACACGAAAGTTTTTCAAAAATTGTTTTCTAGTCCAGCAAGCAGGAGTTTAATAAGTTCTATTAAATATGTATCCACTTTATTGCAAAGTAAATGAATAGTTGTTTTATTTTGTTTGGTAGACCATAAAAATGAGGAGTTTTACTATAATGTGGAACCAAATTATATCCTTTCATAAACTGTGAATTCTTTATGTTTATAACCTGTTTCATATATTTTATTTTGTATAGATTTAGTAGGATATTTATTTCCGCTGGTAAAATGTTAATACTATTATTTTTCAATTACATAGTTTTTGCTCAACTAGATGCTCTTGATTTTTAGATCATATTAATTATTTATAGTAATTTTTGAGCAGCAAATTCTTAATTAACTGATTCTTTTGGTGTAAAGAGTTAGTTATTGAATTTTTCTTTTCACTGTGGTACAATGTCAAATCAAAAAAAAAATTACAGACAGTTTGGTTTTTTTCATAACACACTTGATTGTTTAAGATATAAGGAAGAAATTTGCTTCACTCTACTGCGAAAAATAATTCTTATTCATTTTTTTAATTAAGATTTGCAACGTACATATAGTTTATTATGACAATAAAACAATTATCTAGTATTTACGTAAAATTATAACACTAATAAGGGCACAATGATATTTACGTAACAGGCCAGTCAAATTGTCGAAAATACATCATTTTTTTGCCAAAATTTAGTTCAGGAAACAAACATGTAAAAATTAGGAAAAATTCCATAGAATTGAATGAACTATTTTACCCCAGCTGAATGTTACGGCTTCAAAACTGTTTTTTTTTTCATTAAAACTGGCACGTGAAAATCTAATTTGATTGGACTATAACGGTACTATTATGGCGAATTTTGTATAATTTTATGAAGAACATAATTACTTAAATGAAGGTAGATATGGTATTTTTAAATTTTTATGCTCAGTTTATATTTTTATTGCATGCTGATATTTTTATACAATTTAAACAATTACATCGCAACCTAGAGAGGCTCAAAGGTATCTTTCCGCTTCGTTATTTACATGAATAATATTTATGAACACAGTATATTCAAAACGATAAAAGTATTCACGAAATCTAAACGTCCAAACAGGATTCAGAATATTTTTTATACTGATAACATAAAAGGCAAAAGAATTAAGCTTTACTCCAACTCAACATTGTTATTTTGTAAAACATACTTTTGTACAGGGTGAAATAAAACGGTTGGTCAAAATTTTGTGGAGAATTTTACTTCACAAACTATAGAAAAAAAGTTCCTTCGTTTTGCATTACAGTTACAGAGAGACAACTAATGGAAGTTCATTGAGATAGTTTTGAATTGTCGATAAACATGCGTAGGTACATACCATAGTTTTTTATACTCAGACCATTATAATGGCACTGTTATTCTTGAAATAATGACAGTGATAATTGAAATAATCACGAATTAAATAAAATACTACTCACATGCTCTTCTTTTCCTTAATTTTAATATTTACCTTATTTGACGTTTCTTCCCTAACACCAGTATGGGATTTTTTCCAGACCTGGACACGTCAGCAACAGCTTCATCCTCCGAGCTATCAGAAAACTCGTCGAACACCACTTCCGTGTACTCGTCCAAAGTACTATCGTACTGTAACATTTCGCATGATTAATTTCGTTTCGGTTATAATCACTGGTTGCACATTTTCATTGTAAATAAAACGTAATCTCGTTGATTAGATAGATAACCCTCTCGAGATAAGTCATACTCCTTTTATATGCGGATTCGAGGATTTTGCAGATTTTATTTTTATTGGAGCTGTTTACAGATTTACGAGGCAGGGCAGTCAAGCGATCCGCAGTGGGTCAGGGGGAGATAATCGGTGTTTATAAAAATGGAAATAGTTTTTAGTGAAGATCAGCACTAACATACTCGTTGATTGCTTATAGTCCATTTAAAAAAGCTTCAAAGTTAAAAAAATACGTTTTTACTACTGCAGAAATTTTCTGAATATACCTATGGCAATCCTACCATAGAACATCAAAGACGCACTGTTTGTCCTTGTCCTACATATGCATCTGTCTCTCTTTCATACTCCATCGCTCTTTCTTGCTTGTCGGCTTCTTGAGGCGAAGCACACTCGACATATGACAATTGTATAATCAGCGAATTAATTTACAAGAGTTTATCTGATTGTTAAATCCTGCTAGTACGAGTGTTTATTTTTTTATAATAATCTAATATTTGTTAATCAGTGTAAGTTGATAAAATTTTATTATGCGTTGTTATATCAAGTTACAGCTTTATTGTGATTGTGTTTTGTTGCCCAATGACGGAAAATGGATGGGCCCTTATTGCTTAAAACAAAAACGAAGTCGTCTAGGAGAGAAAAAATATTGTGCAAGTTTTTCAATTGTTCTTTAGTTCAATTGTTCAAATTGATATTTTAAAAATGTGTTTAAAATGTTGTTAGTCAAAAGTGTTAGGTTTTCAAAACATTTTGAAATATTTATTAAACTTTTTAGAAAGGTTTTTATAGCATTGTTGCTGCCACAGAACACAGAATCAACATTCTGAAAACATAAACAGTTGGTTCAGATTTGATTGGAATAAAATTAATTAATTTGTAAAATACCGTTTTTGCACATTTTTAAAAATTTTCATTCATCGTATAAAAAATATTAAATCAAATATTTGCTTGTACAGGGTGATTCACTATATTTACTTTTTTCACCTTTAACTTTTTTGTTTTAGAGATAAAAAAAATGTGAAATATAAAAGTTGCTCGAGTTTTTATAAATTTTTAGAAAATGATAGTTGAAAAACAAATGAAGTCCAAACAAAATGGCCGCGGATGTTAACTTTGTTAAGTTAAATGGAACATCCTGTATATTTTTACATATTTGGATAGAACGTTCCCTGCGGAGCATAGTCATATCAGGTTTGTTGGGTCTATCTCTAACAATAAGGGAGATACTATTAAAACTCGTGCAACTTTTATATTTCACATTTTTTTATAACTCTCACAACAAAAAAGTTAAAGGTAGGGTCAAAATATAGTGAATCACCCTGTACATATTGGAAATATTTTAAAATAATTTTGCAATATTTTTAAATTATTTTTTTAACGAAAATTAAATATTTTTAGGTGATAGTTTAAATATTTTTAAAATATTATTTTTTTAACTAAGAAATATTTTGCGGTAATATTTTGAAAGTAACCTTTTCTTCAATCATTCAAAACATTTTAAAAATATTGCGTGCTGTTAGGGATGAATTATGTTCACAAATTCCCTATCACATATTTCTTAGAATGTAGATAATAAATTCAACGAATCTTGACGATTTTTTTTATCCTAAAGCTCTTTTCATAAGCTTTCCGAATATGTAATAATATATAACTACATATACCACGTTGGTGCGTCGTATATTTGATTTTGCATCTAAGGCTAAACAATTAAAAAAAAATCCAGGTTGCAAATTTGAAATTCAAAAAAAATGATAGATTTCAACGTATTATTGTGAAATCTACTTTGAAAAAAATCAGTGCGATTGTGGAAGACTAATAATTAGTTAATTCGTTTATAAGGCCATCACTTATAAACTATTCAAATTACCGATTTTAGATTTCGTGTGTTATTAGACAGTGATAAGGAATGAGAGGATGCGATGCCAAAACGTTCTGGTAATAATAACGCTATTTATAAATGTTTAATTCAAAAGTCATAAATAAACTTCTTCTGTTTATAACTTTTGATCTAATCTATATTGTTTGACGCTCGTGGGCTGTTTTGTAGATCTTTTGAAGACGAAAAATAAAGTACTTTACTGTTTTCTCGTGGAAATGAACGGAAAAAAGTTATAAGCGAAAAACGTGAATTTACGTAAAAATTATACAATTAACCACCCTGTAAACAATCTTCCCCCCATCTTTATGACATTTTAACATCTATAGTGATAAATTCAGCTTGCCGAAACAAAAAGTCGCGAAATTGTCATTTCCCAGCTTATTTTCCTGGTCTAAATAAACAAAATGACACAAACAATAATTATTGTTATAACGAGCGTTCAAATAAAAACGTGGTCGAAGTTGGCTCTGACACATTGGACGTAGGGAGTAGCTTATAGCGACCAACTTAACCTCATTTCTCAACGAGCTGTATAGCAGCTGTCAGTTTCAATAACGTTAATGACTATATAACTTTATTTTAAAGAATAATCGTGATAACAATAACAAACAATTAAAGGAGCTGCGGAAAGTGTCCCCCTCCTTGTTATAACAATAAATTAAAGCAGCTGCTGAAAGTGTCCCCCTCCTTGTTCCAAGCACTTTTCACACCTGTTCCTCAAAGAATTAAAGACATTTTCTAAGATGCTCGGGGTATTGTTAATTTCACGAATCTTGTCTATAAGTCGAGCCTGCAGATGGTTTAAATCAGGAATAGGCAGTTCAAAAATAGTGTTTTTAAGGTAAGGCCACAAAAAGAAATCACACGGCGTAATATCACATGACCTCGGTGGAAATTCATGTTCAGCATTGAGACTTATTAGTCGATTTTGGAAAACTTCCCTCAACATATTCATCGTCTCGCCTGCCGTATGTGCCCTTGCGCCATCTTGTTGAAAGTAAAAGTTTGTAATTTCGTTTTCTTCCAGCTGGTTAACAAAAGGAGCGATAATTTCTTCTCTATACCTTTGCGCAGTAAGAGTACCATTAAAAAAAATAGGTCCATAAATCCTCCTTCGATTGAGAGCACACCAAACTCCAATTTTTTGAGCGTGTAGAGGGCCCTCGACAAAAAAGTTATCTGGTTTTTCAGAAGACCACATTCTCATATTCTGTGAGTTTACGTAACCACTTAAATGAAACCAGGCTTCATCAGAAAAAAAGGTGATATTATGAAGTTCACCGTAGTTGTTTAAAAACCATTCACAAAATACAGCCCGTCGCGGAAAATCAACTTCATGAAGTTCTTGCTGACAAGTTAAACGATAGGAGAACAAACGCAAATCTTTTTTTAACACTGTGTGGCAGGTACCGACTGATACTCCCACCATTTGTGATAAAACACGTACAGAAGTTCTTGGCGCATTTTCCATTATTTGTTGGACATTTTCTTTTAATTCTTCAGTCCGCTTTTTAGGTCGGCCGCTTCCTTCTTTTCTTGTTACACTGCCCGTTTCACGAAAAACATTAACACAACGCTGAACTGCACTTTGAAAAATTTTGTACTCAACAACGCCGGGAAATTGATTTTGAAATTCTATGAAACATTCCTCAATAGAATACTTCCATATTCCATCAATCTTGCGTCCATTTCTAAAGTAGGACTCTATGATAAACACTTTTTGTTCTTGAGAAAACACCATTTTAAACGCTTTTTAAAACGAAAATATTCAAATTGATAGCGGCGATATAACGCTTTGACAGATGACGTTTACTTGACTTGACCACGTTTTTATTTGAACGCTCGTTAGGAACCATCATTTTTATTTATCAGGACTATTTTGAATCAAATCTAACCTAATAACCGTAGATATTCCATAGTTTTTTGTAAGAATAGAAACCATTATTAAGAAGAATTACCTACTTACTTCTACTGATTTTTCTGATCGGCAACTACTGGTTTACTAAAAATCAATCCGGCAACACTGGGACTACATTAATTAGGTGCATGAAACGAGCGAGCCTGCGTCATTCTTTTGTTTCGAATTTTGCAGTTCCACACGTCGGGAACTTCGAGACAGAGACCGTTCTCAGTAATTTGTACACAAACTTCGGCATCCGGCAGCGTCTTACCTAGATGTGCATCTCATACATGCGAACAATACGGACATTGCGAGAAACTTCGGGGAATTTTAAGTCGCAGTCAGCCGCAGCACTTTTTAAGTATGCAAATGGAGACGTTTTGCGCTTCTCTAACAACGCGGCGCAATCCTAAATCTTTCCTTATGTGATAACGCTCTCGGGATTTATCCATTGTCTGGTAGAATGCGATTCTTGATAATTTAATTCCTTCCTGCATGCCGCGGCTCCGGAAAAGGAACGGATTTAGAACGAACTAGGTCAGAAATGGAAAAGTGTCGCGAAACTACGGCATTCAGACGGGGTTAAACTGCACAGAAAAGCCCGTTTTATGACGGTTTAATCACAAGTTTTTCCTGTAAGAATTAGAGACTTGTGCAGTGATATGCATGTGCTGATTATGTTTCGGCCTGTAGATTAGGCAACCCTTTATTCGGATCCCGAGCATCCATAGGCCTCAATTGTTTCATAGTAAGACTTTATTTTTAGGCCAATATAGGTTTTTTGTGTGACAAAAATGCTAGCAGCATACCACCTGTGCCGTCATTTAAATGACAGTCCGTACATATTAGTCCAGTCATTATAGACATGGAACAGCCTGTTTCGGGGAAAAAATACTATTAGAAGTTTTTCTGGGGAATATTGTTCGGAAATGTGTTGTAAATAAAATATCAAAAAATCAACTCGAGACTAGTTGGGAAACTTTATTTAAACAATGGACAAAGTTATGGAAAAGTGGTTTTTATCTCGCGTAAAAAAACTATTATTCATAGCGAAAAGAGGTTTATACAAAAAAGGTAGGTATTAAATAAACCTTTAAATTGAGACAAGTCCGATTAAATTCGGATAATTTGTTTATGCGCAAGAGCTCAAAAATGTCGAA